GTATTAAACACTTAGGTCCATTTACATCTGTATAATTCAAGGTCATGCCAGTGTAACATCACTTTTTTTTCTTTGCATTGATATTTCATAATTTAGCACCGACTGGTGACTGAGAGGTCCAGTGCAGAAAAAATTCCTTTACTTTGAGTCGTTTCTTATCAAAGGACATTCCTGTGCCTAATCAGAATGAGAACATTTGTAGCTGGGGAGGCTGAACCTTTACCTTTTGGCTTCATTCAGAGGGAGCTAGATATCATTGTGTGTTCAACTGCCAAATTTCGGCGAGCTCAGCAGACTGCTGCCCCTGGTGCACTAAGCATCCTGGAAAAGCCTTTAACAGACTCTGCAGGTCTGAAAAAGATTCAGATGTTTTGAATTATATCAGCTTAACACAGACTAAAAGAGCATTTTAAGAACCTCCCATAAATTGTTTATCAGTAAGAACGAATGGTCCAGTTTTATAATTTATTCATCTTGAGAAAATGGAATCAGCCCCGGTGGAGCAGTTTGGGCATTAACATCTCTATCACGGGACCAAAAACAGGAGCACTGGACAGAGTTATTTACTTGCTTGCGCAACTAGTCTGGGAGATTAGCTGGAACAAAGTAGTCACAACTGCTTTCTTAGTATTCTTGAAAATACTGAATTTGAATATTGGACTTGGTTGATGGTATTGAAACACCATTTGATATAGCGGCACAATTTGTAAAGATTTGTAGTAAAATACTCTGAAATATCTATCTACTTCAATCTGCCAGAGATTGTGACCGGCCTAAGTTTTAAATGTTCCGTCTTCCTTTTTAAGACCTTTCTCACAAGAACAGTAACACCTTATCATTTTGTGCTAGACCTTTTCTTGTGGGTGTGGTTGGACTTTCAGAAAACTTTTTTTTTTTTTTTTCCCCAAAGCTGATGCAAATATGACCTAACTTGCTTTTTTTCTACAAGGTTTCAAACATGTGCATGACATTCACTTGCTAGACAGTCCACAGGAAACATCAGTAATATGACTTCCTGTCTGCCTTTTGAACTAACTGCGTGTGTTTCCTCTCTGCCCTTTAGATTTTGTCTCTTGTGTCTCTCTCCCCTCTGAAGTATGTCTTGTCTCTCCCAGGTTGCCACTCTGCAGTATATTAACTTCTGTTGTCTGTGTGTGTGTGTGTGTGTGTGGGTGTGTGTGTGTGTGTTTTTTCATTCAGTCTTTGACAACCAGCAGCCCAGCCATAGGTGAGCTTATCACTGCTGTGTCCTGGGTGAGACTTTGATCATCTGCCACTGGCAGATGCATAGAAACATGATTATAAACAAATGAAGCATATAGAGTGAAGTACTGGCTGAGTAGCGCAGGGTAGTAGTGGTTTTGCCATATGGGTACTTACACAGCATTCAAATGAGCTCTTTCTGTATATGTGTGAATGTAGGTTTGTGTGTGTGTGTGTGTGTGCAGAGCAGCTTTTGCCATAGAAAGAGGGCCAACCACACAGCGATTGTGTGGTTACAGATTAATGGGTCATCTTATCTGAATGAGTGTGCGTCTGTCTCTCATTTCATGTCTCTCTCACTCCATCTGGCTCACTGTTAAACACCACTTCATAATAAAGTCTAAAAACCGATTCAAGCAGGATGTATTCATGATGTTGTAACCAAGTGCAAGTGTACAGGAATCCGGTTTTGTGTAATTAGAGACACAGCATGGGTCTTAGGTAATGATGAATCACACCAAAGTGTGTTTCAGCGTGTACTGGGATGTGTTTACTCTGAACGATGTGTTAGCTACTGAGGCTGACCACTCCGCTCTTTGCCTGGAGGCCTTTTTCCATCGCACATGAATCCATTGGCCCGAGGACATGGAGACAGCTGAGAGGTGCACGTGTGTGTGTGTGTGTGTGTGTGTGTGTGTGTGTGTGTGTGTGAGAGTGCGCATACAGGCCGAATTGGCTGATCTGTAGGCGGGACTCCAGCTGTACTTGGTGGCAGGCAGTCACAGGTCTAATAATAAGACTTCTGAATCTAAATCCGAACTGTTACATAATTCACATAACACATCATTGGGATCCGGAGGAGAGATCACACACGCATGAAAAAGAGAAAGATCAGTGTTCCACTGGGTGTTACGTGTTTTGGTTTGGAGCCGTAAAGTGCAGGATGTGTCAGCAAAAAAGCCTCTTATTTAAACGCTGGACCTAAACCTGATTTGTTTTTCAGAGTGAAAGGATTTCTGGCTGTGTTTCTCAAGCAGTGGTAGTAATTGGTATGGCTGTTCTCGAGCTGAGTACAAGGGGACCAGTAGAGAGAGAGAATACTCAAACACAAATTGGAGAGAGCAAAGAAGGATGTCTTGCAGATGCACATTAATTCAGAAAGTGCAAATATAAATTGAAGAGACATAGATTTTACATTATAAAGAGATGGAGGGGCAGGAATGAATTAGTCACAGTCAAGTGGGAAATGGAGGAGGACGAGTGGAAGAAACAGGCAAGATTGAACATTGAACCTTGCTTTTAAGGCTTAATGATTGGTAAGCAACGTGCCAAACTGCCAAATGATATTAACCATTCGTACCAAAGGCAGGATTAAAGATGTGACAGAGGGAGGGGGCCTGTCTGTAATGAGCATCCTGCATCAGGCTAAGACAACAACTCCTCCGTTTTGTTCCTAGATATTCCAGTTGCATTTTTGTTTTGATAAATTTGAGTTTTAGACACAGTGATTGTCTCTCTGCATGTTATATGTAGCTTTCTTCTTTCATATTGGTGAAATGGTTTTTTTATGTCTCTGCTTTTTTGTATTGTGTTGTATAGTTCTGCATCGTGATCATCTCCCAGCTTCCATTTAGGCTGGTTCTTTGTGCTTGTGTGTGCGTGCATGCGTGTGTGTGTGTGCAGGCATCAAGGGAATGTTTTATTTAGGCAAGACACCCTAAAGAATGACCGCTCTCTTCTATGTGTATATGCTGACTGGGCCCCTTAACCAAATCCTCCATCACTAGTCCTTTGTCCTGCTTTGCACGTGTGTGTGTATGTTATGTTTTTGGTAGGTTTGTGTGGTTATTTATTTTTTATTTTTTTTGGTGAAGTGAGTTTGTTTGTCACTATGTCTAGATTTGTTGGTTTTAATTCATTTCTTTGTTTTCATCATGCCTGTTTTAGGGGTGTTGGTGAATGTATGTACTCCTGGGTTTGCCTTTAACAGAGAGCTGCAATCTGACACCCGCTGTGCACACATGACTGGGGCTCTCTGGGTGTGTGTGTGTGTGTGTGTGTGTGTGTGTGTGTGTGTGCGCGCGCGCGCGTTTAAAGGGGGTAGGGGTAGCACACCAGTTCTCAAAGGCTTTTCTCTTGTGCTCCCATAATAACTCTCTTCTCTCCCTCCATCCATCTGTGCTTCCTTTCTCTTTTCTTCCTCGTCTCCTTCACGGAGCATCACCTTTAGCCCAAAAAACCCTGCAATAGTGCCACACTTTCCCAGTGCATTCTAGGATTATGACTGAACCCTAGTCCACTACTGTATATCTAGTACATCATGTAATCGTGCAGGTGATGGACCCTGTGACCTTGAATCTTGACCTTTGTCATATATTTCCCCCCTCACCTGTGTTACTGTCGGCCTCTTTTTCCCTTTGCTCAGGCCTTTCTGATTGCAGCCCATAAAAAAAGGAGATTGTCCCTGAATATAGCCTCGCTCTCCATCTATTTCACCCTGCACTTAATCAGCCTAGAGCTGGCTAAGACGACCCCCTCCCTCCCTCCCTCACGTTTTGTGTCGGACTGCGCCCCTCTCCATGTGCAGCAGCAGCAGCTCAAAGTCATGTAAGGAGGAGGTCCCTGAAAGGAATGTGCGTGACTGGCTGGCTGTGATGCATACACACACACACACACACACACACGTGTGCGTTCGCACTAACATGGAGCAGCAGCTCGTAGCTCTCAGTTCTGCAGAACCAGCTGTTCTAGCCAGCCCTGCTCTGATGGGAGGAGGACTGAGTGTGTGTTACAGTATGTGTGTGTGTTCATGTACTTTTGGCCTTATAAGCACCTGACATCCTTAAAAGGATTCAAACAATTTCTTAATCTATGTTTATTTGTTTGGCTCTGATTGAAATGAGGGCAGGAGGAGGGCCTGAGACTGTGGATCAGCTGACTTCCTATGGGATTTTGGGAGTTTTCTCTGGAGGAGTACAGGAGGTGGAGAGCTAAGACAAGCTCTGCAACCTTTTACTAAAAATACTCCGCTTCAACTGCAACACAAACCCTGCATGGTTTTGTTAATTTAGTTGTGGCAGCAGTCAAACTAATGAGCCGCAGCTACAGTTTAGTAGCATTTAACCCATGTCATGTCACCCCCTTGTGTACCACTACAAATTCAGCTGTTGTGAATAATAATGCACAACAGAGTGGCTCAGCATGAGCTATAATTTGAATGTGACAACCAAGTGAGTGTTTAATTCAGATAGCGTCAGTTCCTCAGTGGTGAAAGGCCCCACCCTGGCAAAACTGGTGTAGCACTGGGTGGTGCATCATAACTCTGTTATTTCTGTCCTGTACTGTTCACATATATCTTAAGTTTTTTGTTTATACATGTTTTGTCACTGAGTGTGAATGATGTCATTACTGTCTATACTGGGGTGTTTGTACTGTAAGTCAGCGTGCAGACAATGTGTGCCTTCACCCCTCAGCTCAGCTGACATGGAAGGTCTAAATATATTCCTTTGAAGCTGCCAAACTGGAAAGGTTGTGTCATCTGCTGCCTTCCCCCACACACCTTCTCCAAACAAACCTTTTCAGCCAAAGTTAAATAGCCATATCCAATTACTGTACATAAAAACCTAAAAAACATTCAGGCTTATCATGCCTGCTTATCATGGTAATACAGGTTGCTTTGTGATTGTGTGTGGGTTTTTTATTTATTAATTTTTTTCATATCAGTCACAGGAGAGGAAAATTAGTAGTATAACTGCTATTTTTCTCCAACGCTGACCTTGGTTCTCTCCTTTTTCTAGATGCAACAGAGGAGTTTTTCGAGTATGATGCGGAGGAGTTCCTGGTATTCCTGACCTTGCTCATCACAGAGGGAAGGACACCAGAATATTCTGTGAAGGGCAGGACCGAGGGGCTCCACTGTCCACCAGCCCAGTCGGCTATGCCACCTCTTCACAAGCATGAATGCAGTGACAAACTGCCCCAGGTAATGCACATTTACACACACATCCGTGTACACAGCCCTGCATATCTTTTGTGTAAACATAAGGCAGTTTCTTAATGCTAGAGGTTGTTACAGCTTCATTTGCAGCCTTCTTTCATAAGCATTAATTGAGGGGCACTCATCAAATGGGACTCTCATTTGCCATTCTTTCTTAGAGATATTACTAGGAGTGTAATGGTTCTGAAACAAAACCCACAATCGTGATACAAACTACAGTCTTGGTTTCATCCATGGTCCTTGCTCCCCTAACTGTTTAGATGTGGCTGTGTCGTGGTGATCAGATGGCACGGTCCAGTCTGGTTCTCTTGTCTGTCTCCCTCCACTATCTACGGTTGGATCAGACCGCTCTGTCCATGTGCTTTACCCTTCATGTCTTTATATCCATATGCCCATTAAACACTGAGGCTTTTGCAGTGGCCTGAACTGAACTGGTAAATTGTTATTCCCCTAGATATCACTAATAATTATATTTTTTTCCTTACATTTAGTAACCAATCGTAGTCGATATAAATGTATTAGGATCAGTAAAATGGAGTGAGGTTCAGCAACACCACAAACTGCAGCCTCTGAAGTTACCAAGAAGTTCAGTCAGCTTAAGTCAAATCTGGGCATTATATACTTAGAGGATTCATTACAGGGTTGTTGTATTAGATGACATTAGGATTAAGTAAGTGCACCTAAACTGGCAATGTAGTATCCATTCCTGTGTCTCTGCAGCTGGTATGCAGAATAGTATATGCACAGTAAATGTCTTGGGGGCAATTTGTATTGAGATGCAACCTAAATAAAATCACATAGAAATTCAGCTTTAAGTGAGGCTTTTCTGGGTTCCATCTGCTTTTCCCTTACATTTCAAGGTCCCACTGTTGACACTGACTAAAGAACGCTAACCCTCCACCTTTGTCTGCGGACTCATGTGTCCAGTGTCGACAGGCAAGGCGAACCCGTTCCGAGGTGGTCCTGCTTTGGAGGAACAACATCCCCATTATGATTGAGGTCATGCTCCTGCCGGACTGTTGCTATGGTGATGAATGCCCCCCAAGTGACCCCATCAGTGACCCGGTCATCAAACAAGATGCTTTGCTGCTGGAGAGATGGACCTTGCAGCAAGTTCCAAGACAGTAAGACACACTCTAATCTTACTATTTAAACATGGCAATGCTAGAAAGGTGCACGTTTGTCAGTTTTCATAATATATGCAGTACCGTTATATTCACGCAAAAGATACTGGGCTCATTAACATTTTGTCTGCAGTGTAAAATGTTTTTATTTCCGAGGTTGCTGTCCTCTCCCTTCATCCAGAGTTATCTTTGGTCTGGATCTCGTTTCCACCACTAATGCTTTCACATTGTTGTGTTCATTTTGTGCACAAAGCCATGTTTGCACCAATAACAAGTACAAAAACAGAAATCAAAATATTTTAAAGATGTACAGTGCCTGTGGTGTTATGTGTGTTCTCAAGTGAACACACGACTGGCTTGTAGAACTTGCGCCAGCAGGCCTGTTGCACATAAACTGATCATGGACCATAACAGTCATACTTGTATGACTGTAGTTTTCTACAATACTATACCTACACTCTGGTTAAACTGCTGTATCCAAAGAAACTACACAAAGGCCCAAACAGTGTAATAAACTTTCACAAGAGCTGTGAAATCTATATTTGTGTGTACGTTTAGTACATTCAATGCGGGTTTAAGTGTTTAGCTGTTGCAAATGTGTAAAATTACATAACAGATATTTGAGTTTTATCCATAAAAATAAAAATAGAATATGAAATAAAATAATAATACAACTAAATAAAAAAAAAAACACTGAGATAATTGGCTTGGCACTCTGAGGGTTAATTAGCCTGAAATTGGCCCACTTTCCAACTTAGATGTGTAGGAACAAGGGAAATGTGTTTGACAGAAACACACACATCCCTGAACTGTTTTCTCATTAACCTGACATACTGGCACATTTCCTCTTCTGTTAACTGTGTTTTAAATAGAAGTGGCGATCGTTTCATTGAAGAGAAAACCCTGCTGTTGGCTGTCCGCTCCTATGTCTTCTTCTCCCAGCTCAGCGCCTGGCTCAGCGCCTCCCATGGCATCGTCCCCAGAAACATCCTGTACAGGTCAGACTTACCACTCATTCAACACATCGTTTAAAGGCTTTTCACTCAGGCTTTTGGACCATATTATTAAATTTGCAGGAAACCTGATCTATAGTGATGTTATCTTCAAGTTTATAGACAGGTGTAAAATTTGTGTACTGTGCTGCTTTGAATACGGTAAGTTAAAGTGTTCGATCCAATCTCCCGTTTATTTCTAAAATCCTTGAAAAAGCTGTTGCAAAGCAGTTATGTGACCACTTGCACAAGAATGATTTGTTTGAAGATTTTCAGTCAGGATTTAGAGTCCATCATAGTACAGAAACCGCATTGGTGAAAGTCACCAATGATCTCCTCCTAGCCTCAGACAAAGGACTTGTCTCCATACTTGTCCTCTTAGATCTCAGTGCTGCTTTTGACACCACTGATCACAGCATCTTACTGCAGAGACTTGAAGATGTTACTGGGATTAAAGGAACTGCACTCAGTTGGTTCAAATCTTACTTATCAGATAGATTCCTATTTGTTTATGTTAATGAATCTTCCTCATGGTGCTCCACAGAGCTCTGTGTTAGGTCCAATTCTCTTCACTTTATACATGCTTACTTTAGGCAATATTATCAGGAAACGCAGAATAAATTTTCATTGCTACACTGACAGTACTCAGTTTTATCTATCTATGAAGCCAGATGAATCAGATCAATTGGTCAAATTTCAAGTATGTTTTAAAGACATGACCTGTAATTTCTTACTTCTAAACTGACAAAACTGAAGTCATTGTACTTGGGCCTGAAAACCTTAGAAATCTGCTGTCTAATCATATAGTTACTTTAGATGACATAGCTCTGGCCTCCAGTACTACTGTGAGGAACCTTGGAGTCATCTTTGATCAGAATATGACCTTTAAATCACACATAAACCAAGTCTCTAGATCTGCCTTCTTTCACCTGCGCAATATTGCAAAAATCAGGAGCATCCTGTCTCAAAGTGATGCTGAAAAACAGGTCCATGCATTTGTTACTTCCAGGCTGGACTACTGTAACTCTTTACTATCAGGATGTCCCAAGAGTTCCCTAAAAAGCCTCCAGTTAATCCAAAAGGCTGCAGCCAGAGTACTGACAGGAACTAGCAAGAGAGATCATAT